ATTCATTATAAATTCTGAACCGTTAGATTAGAAACATGAGAGATGACATGATATATAAAAAAGAAGAGGATCCAAATCCACGTGAGTATTATAAAAAGCAGACAGCACGCGGACACACTAGTGACAGCGTGGCAAAAATCAAAATAATGAGTAAGCCATTTCGTTTAGGGACTAAATTGAAATCTTATAGATAATTAAGGGATCAGACTTGAATAATAACCAAATTATGATTAAAGTAACCAAAATAAAATTTCATAATATTTTATCAGACCATAATCTGTTATTTACCATACCCGAATTTCATATCAATATAATCTTGAATTGAATGATATTAAACTGAATTTTGTTACATTCTTTGATTCAAACTAAAGTCATTAAACTAAAATGACAGTAAACATGTTCCAAAATGACATAAGATATGCACACACAACTACAAAATGTGTACACAACCACTACTACAAATTTATTTTAATCATTGTGAAGTCTTTTTTTTCTTCTTTGAAATTGATTAAGGTAGAAAGAGTTGTGACCTAGATTGAATTGATATTTATGATTCGGTAGTTTAAACTCAATCTGTTTTAATCTTCTTGATATGTTGAAAATATTATATCAACGAGTCTCTCTCTCAAGAGAGTCGCATCAATTTGGATAACACCAATACTACCATTTTCAAGGTTTCTACTCCATCCTTGATAATCAAAGTATTTTGATAGCAGGTCTCAGATCTGCAAATAGAATTAGATACACAGTTATAATCAACAATTTCAAAGAACATTATTTCTAATTTATAAGAAAATAAGTAATCATAAATCATAAGAGGATTATTTCAATCATACAAATTTTAATCATACATGACATTTAACATGTATTTCTAATTTATAAGGAAATAGATAGTTATACATTATTTTCAATTTCAAAAAATAATTTCAGTTATAATCAGTATTTACCTTTTTAATTTTGATCATTTAAAGACATATCGGTCAAAATAAACCGAGATAACACGAGTATTAAACCAATTTTCGACTACTGCTACAAGATTTGACATAAGAAGCTGAAAAATAATTTGTTATAGAAATAGAATTTTAGTGAGACAATTGAACATACACTAAAAGCATCATATCTCACGTGTGTTGTTCCACCATAAATCAGTACATTAGGGACATAGAAATTTATTGAAATGGTAATAGCAGCTGCAAATATAAAAAAAATGAAGTACTAAAATTTAAATAATGTACTAATCATCTCAAAAACACCTTGACAATCACAAAAATATGTCATCTATATCGATTATTATAATCTCTTTTTTCAGTTTTCACATATATTAAAAATGAGCACGATCTAATTAAGCAAAACTATAAAGACATCAGTGACAAATCAAGCAACAAATTAATGAGCAAATAACAAAATATTTTTAACCTTTATATTTGTGAAGCAATTTACCAATCCAATGACCTTGCGATGAGAATCAACAATTCAAAGAGAATCAATTCCAATGATCTTGAGATGAGAATCAACCATTTCAATTTCAACACTAAAAACAGAACCATCCAGGTGAAACATTTGTGTCCATTAAGTAAAACTGCGGAGCAGTTGGATAGATGAAAAATATTTGCTGCAATGTGGAAAACGAAACAATATTAGAAGTAGCTTTAATCTAAGAATTACTTCACTTTAATAAAGAACACTGAACACCATAGCAACGGAACTTTTGTTGTTGCAGAAAGAAGGAGAAGAGAAAAAAAAGAAAGATAGGGAGAAGAAATAGATGTGGCGGCTAGGGTTTTTTTGTTGTTTCTTATATAAAATAATTCTTAATAAATTCTAAATAACAAAATATTTTAAATAAATTAAAATAATTTCATGTCAAGCAAATAAATACAGCTGAAACTACACGTATACAAAAGTTAATGATTTTTGTAAAAATTTAATAAAAATGACTAATGTGAATAACAAACCGTGATTTGAGAGATTTGCAAAATAATGTTTATTAAATTAAAGATTAAAATAAAATATAAAATAAAATTAAAGGACTAAATGATATATTAAATCTTTTAAAATAATGAGAATAACTATGTTTAGAGGACAAAAACGAGAAACCCGAATGTGAATGAGCTAAGCTAAGGTGCCTACCCGAAGCCGAAACCGATTCTAGCTTCATTCATTATTCCAGTTTCTACCCGCCACAATTGTGCTCTCAGATTTTCTCCTATTACGTCACATACCAAGTTCATAGATTCGTCTCATTCATCAAACCATTGACTTCAGATCCATTAAACGGTCACGATTACCTTGAACCCACGCCAACCGCAGGTAATTGTACCGTCAAAATTTATCAGCGAGACACGACATCTCCCGCTTCCACTAAAAAAAGCAAATCATGAACCAAGAATAGACAAATATTCAAAAAGACGAAACCACCCTTAACTCCGTCCGTACAAAATGCCGACCATAGGGGTAGTCACGTAACTCCATCCTAGATATCCCTTTCGAGCAAAAAGTACATGCCCCTGAAAGCTAGCATGTGACGCTTGTACTATACATCAAGCCAAAAGGGTCAGTTTTGTCATTTTGTCACATCGTTCCATTAAAATAAAACCTCGATATTTTTCTAAGGTTCTCCTCACCAAAGAAATTTATCAATTTTTTTAAAAACGAAAATAAAAAGAAAAACTAATAAAACAAACAAAGCCGCCCCTACTTTATTTATTGACGGAGCTTTATGACGTAAGGAATTTTCATTTCTCTCTCTAATTCTTTCTCTCCCTCTTCTTTGTTTTTTCCTTCACAATTTGCGTTTTTGCTTCGTCTTCTTCGAAGTGTCAATGGAATAGAGTGATTTTCAGATCTGAATACTATTTCCAGTTTCTATCTTCATTCTTCACAATCACGGTATATGTCTTATCTGATTCTTCTCTTTCATAATTGTTTCTGTAATTGGATTGCTATGTGGTTCCTTGGTATTTCCTATTGAATTTTCTGTTTTAGTTTCTACTCGGATCTACTTGTTAGTTGCAAAACTTATTGGTGCTGATTCTCTTATAGCCATTATTATGAGCTTGATATGTGCACAAATCTCATCACGAAATTATCCTAATTCAATAGTAAAAAATTTCTTGAAGGTATTATAGCATAGTGTCTGTGAGTGTGGGTGCGCGCGTGTTGGTTATTCTGCTCCAACAAGAGTTTTTATCTCGTTTCTATTTACTTGCTTAAGGCTTGAAGTATTATTATGCTCAAATTTTGTGCAGGAACATTTTTAGCATTATTTTCTATATTTTGGGAAGCTGGTTCTATTGGAAGCTTTGTAAAGGAATTGATATACTGAAGGAATTTTATGACTAGGAACCTCCATACAAAGAAAATGGGAATGGATCGTACCCTTTCAGATTGGCAAAGGTCAGAGAACTCCTTCCTGTGTTTTCTTTTTTCAGTTTCCTTTTAATCCTTTTCTTTGTTGAACCTTGAATTTTGCCTCCCTCTTGGTTCTGTTTGTAGTCAAAGCTATATTTATCATTCTTCTAATTTAATTTTTTGGTGTACATACATCTTGGTGTTTTAACAATACTATCTGTTACAGTTTTTATATTTTTTGGGCTGAGAATGCTTATTATAATTTATAACTTAAATTCCAAAGTCATGTCTCTTAATAAATGCCACCTTGTGGCTAATAATGAAATTCAAGATGTGTTTCATAAGACTATATCTGTTTTGAATATGTTATTTTCTCTTCATGAGCTGTTATTGCTGGTACACTCTTGGAAGACCTTACAAGATTCTTGTAACTAGAAGAGTAATGCATCCAATAGATGGAAACTTACTTCAATTTTGATATGATGTCACAAATTTGGTTTATGTGTCATCCGTCACTATCTACTTGACTAAGCACGATACCTTCTGGTGGATGCAAGATTTTCTCCTCTCACAATTTTCATTTTTAATTTGTTTAGTAAAACCTTTCACAATCAATCTAAAATTTGGTGCTTGGATGCCTTTTACCGTATTCATGTAGGTGTGATGTGAAGCTTAAAATACTTTATTAACAACCTTTGGATCTTGTTTTGTAATGCATATTTGATTCGGGTATTTTGCACAGCTTGGTGGAATGATAGCTACATCTTTTCTCTCTGCTACTTGATATATAACACATCATTTGTCATGTTATTTTTGGTTTGAAATTGTTTTTCCCTCATGATGAAAAATTGTTTTCAATGTTGCAATGCCAAGGTATAAATAAGCTATAGGCTACAACACTCAATTTGCATGTGCAATTATCTTCAAAATCAGGGATTGTTTATTGCTTCATTATGATACTTGTCATTTGTATTTCCATACTAATATGCTTAGAATTTTCTCTATTTCTCCGTGCCTTTGTTCTTTAGAATACATTTTAACCTTTGTAAATTGTAACCCTTTTATAATGTTTCAGTATGTTTGTAGTTTTATCTTTGAGTCCCTTTTAATGTGTATAGTGTATCAATTTATTTAATTGGGAAGGTTTTCTGTTCATGTTTGAGGTGAGATTTAAGACTTGGTATTTCCTATTCCAGTCACACAAGCTGACCTCAATTTTGCCAGTGCTGAGTTTATATGGGTGCATTTTGTATTATAAAAAAAAGTTTTCTTCCTAATGAGTGTTAACTTGTAAATAAAAAAACTTATTTCGTTCTTTCTTCTTGTCAGGGTAAATGAAGCTTAATGATTTATTCACAAGGAGCACGAGAAGCTCCAGGGAACTCTTTACATCAGTTTTAACCAGTCTTATAAAAGGGTTCTTCCCAAGAGACGTTATAAGATATATTTGGTATAGTAAGATATTTTGAAGCTTAGTTGTGGGATATCTTGAAAATGGATAGATCAGATACATCAGGCTTTGTAAGCGGTGGATGCTTTATGCTCAAATTTCTTTTTCTAGTCTGGTAGGTATGTGGATCTTATAGTAGTATGTGGTGAACTGTTCTGCTACTTCAACCTCCTGTAGTGTAGTGCACAACATCTGGATAATGGATTTGAACGAGAAAGCTGTACCGTTTCCTCATGATGCTGAGCTTAGGATTGGTAATACTACTTTAAGCTTGAATGGTATTGGCTTTGGAGAAACCAATAATACTAATTATGGATGTACTGAGAGCAGTCTTGGGATGAAGTTTTCCGTTGCTGTTGATGATGGCTGCAAATTGGTTCTGGGATTGGGCCCAACCCCAAAGGCATATGGCGATGACTACAATGATATAGGGTTTAATAAGAAGAAAAAACCGGCCAGCCTTTTTTCTCAGAGCATGCCATCCGAATGTGAATCAATTCTTCAACTTGGTCTTTCTGGTGCAGCAAATGAGATATCAAGTATAATGGAGTACTCAGGTTCAACAGAGATCAATGTGAATATCTCACGTTTTTCAAGCCAGACATCAGGAGAATATAATTATGCAATGATACCTGTCGTTGATGAGGGTTCTACCTCCGCAAAGAAATCGGGTGGTTATATGCCATCACTTCTTTTAGCTCCAAGAATGGATAATGCTGAAATTTCGGTGCAGACACAAGAACTAATTCTTGGAACTAAATCTCATACATTCCCCGAACTATCCAGTGCTACAAATCACTCCCTTGGCACCGCATCTGGCCCCCAGGAAACCGGGATAACTTCACAGAACCGAACAAGCAATCCGAAGAGATGCAGATTTTTTGGCTGTTCAAAGGGAGCTCGAGGTGCTTCAGGGCTTTGTATTGGACATGGGGGTGGACAGAGATGCCAGAAACCGGGATGCAACAAGGGCGCTGAGAGCCGTACTGCTTACTGTAAGGCCCATGGTGGAGGCAAGAGGTGCCAACACTTAGGGTGTACTAAAAGTGCCGAGGGGAAGACAGATTATTGCATTGCACACGGTGGTGGTCGGCGATGTGGGTATCCAGGTGGGTGTGCAAAAGCTGCACGAGGTAAGTCAGGACTTTGTATTAGACATGGAGGAGGTAAGAGATGTACAATAGAAGGTTGCACCAGAAGTGCTGAAGGGCAAGCTGGGTTGTGTATCTCTCATGGGGGTGGACGTCGTTGTCAGTACCATGAATGTTCAAAGGGTGCGCAGGGGAGCACCATGTTTTGCAAGGCACATGGGGGTGGGAAACGTTGCTCATTTGCAGGGTGCACTAAAGGAGCTGAAGGAAGCACCCCACTGTGCAAGGCACATGGTGGAGGGAAGCGTTGCCTTTTCAATGGTGGTGGTATTTGTCCAAAAAGTGTACATGGAGGAACAAACTTCTGTGTTGCTCATGGTGGTGGAAAGAGGTGTGCTGTTTCTGGTTGCACCAAGAGTGCCCGCGGTCGTACTGACTGCTGTGTCAGGCATGGTGGGGGTAAACGCTGCAAGTTTGAAAGCTGTGGGAAGAGTGCTCAAGGGAGCACAGATTTCTGCAAGGCCCATGGTGGAGGAAAGCGATGTAACTGGGGAGATGGAAAATGTGAGAAATTTGCAAGGGGAAAAAGTGGTCTCTGTGCTGCTCACTGCAGCCTGTTGCAAGAAAGTGAAACGAGCAAGGGAAGTCTGATTGCACCCGGACTTTTCCGCGGTCTTGTACCTTCTGCTTCCACCATCTGTAGCAGTTTTGAGAACAATTCTTCCTCAGGCGTCAGTGTTGTGTCTGATTCCTATGATTCTATGGAAACACCTGCTAGAAGACATCACCTCATCCCCAAGGAGGTGTTAGTTCCACTCTCAATGAAATCACCATCTTATTCAAACTTCTTGGCAGCCAATAAGCCAGCACAAGACAGAAACCTCCACAGCATCACTGGCGACTGCAGCGGTGCTACAAAAGGCACCAGCTTTGATTTGCCAGAAGGCAGGGTCCACGGTGGCGACCTCATGTTGTTTTTCGGAGGAAATCTCAAAAATGCACTTGATGGCATCTGAAGTGTGAGGGATCTGAAGTGTGAGGGAGTATGTGGGATGACTCTTAAGTTGTACGTAGATTTCACTTTAGGAGATAGGGACCTTTCCATTCCTGTCATGGAATTGTGCATAAGTGTTTGTACTGCATGTTCAGTAACTCATTATTATTGTTATGTGTTGATAAGTTGATTATTAGCCATTAGGCTCTTATTGTTTGTAGTGTTTTCTTCATTCTTAAATATTGTAACGTGGCAATCTTAAGCAATAAGCACATAAATTCACTGCAACAAACAATCTCATAAATCTGTGTATGCTGCAATTAAATCACTGTATCTTAAATATGTAGTTTCTATTTTGCTTTAAAAATATGCGGTGAACTAAAACCTGCTTCCTTTGCTATCGTGTTCCGCAAACTATAAATTAGAGATTTCTTCTTATTTCGTCTCTCTCCATTTCTTCTTCTTCTCCGCACTAACCTACAGGCACTGAAATTGCAATGAAGCACCGCCATTTTCGTGCTTGTAACGTAGCTCTGTTTCTCTCACCTCCATCGATCTTCAACCTTCTCTATTTTGATTTCTATTTTTCTTCTCCGATTTTCTTTTACTTGATAGTTTTTGTTCTCTGCAATTTCGTTCTAATGATTCAACCACTTCACTTTTAGGTTAAATTGATTGAAATTCCGAATTGAAATCAATACTTTAATTTGATGATAAACGAAACGAGAGTTCAATTTTCGTTCAAAGAAAATCGCGTTATAATAATTTATCCCAATCGTGATTCGAGCGGAAAAGGTTTCGGCTAAACAGCTTCGTCTTTGAAATGCAGGAATAGGTTATGGAGAACGCGATGAGCAACGGCAAGATGAAGGTCTCGAAGCTGAGGACTTTGAACGAGAACTTTTCGCCGTTGCAGATCGAGTTAGATGAAAAGAGAGGACGCTATCTCCAATCAGCGACGATGAGTCCAGGTTTTCAACACTACACCGAGAAATTCGACGCTGGCTCGCCGCTCGCGCAATACTTCTACGCCGGATCTCCGATTTCATCTAAATCCGGTGAGGCCTTCAATTCTCCGCTTTTCGGCTCCAGCAAGTATAGGTCCGCGAACAGTAGCTTTGGTTCTCGCGGCAGATTGTCTCTCTCCCCGCTTTCTTCAATCGAGAACTTCGAATTGAAGCCGCCGCAGAAGTCGCCTCCAATGTACCGAACTCCAGTGAAGGTGGAGGAGGAAGTTATTGTGATGGATGATATTCAGGTGAGGCCAATGTTCGGAGGAAAGGGCGGAAGGTCATCATCGTCTTCTTCCAGTAGGGGCTCTTCTTCCTCTTCTTCGTCCACCAAGAGTTTGTTCAAGACGGACATTTGCAGAGCGTGGGAAGAATCTGGAAACTGCCGCTTCAATTCCAAATGCCAGGTTTGTTAGCGCCATAACTATTACGAATTTAACTATTCTTGTTTTGGCTTTTTGATGCAATAAATAAATAATAGACTTTAGAAAAGTAAATTTAATCCTCTTTAAGAATTTTATTTATCTAAATTGGATAAAAAAAGGATTTTTCTAATTAAGGTATGAGTTTGTTGGCATTGTTATTTCCATTAATGAAAATGTGATCCTGCATTAACTTTTAAAGATCCCAAAAGACCCAAACACAACTTGGAAACAAGGGTTTGTTTGATATGCAACCTTTAAGACTAAATATCAGTTCATTTATGTCTACCTTTACCAAAAGTTCCAACAGTGTCCTAGCTGATTGATTTAGATTTAGCATTTGTTTGAATTGCGGTGGGATATCCAGCTAAAACGTTATTTACTTGAAGTTAGTATTTGTTGCTTAATGAAAATTGTGTTAAGAAAACATTGGATGCGAGTAACTTTTGTGCATTGCGAATCTAGACAAGTCATTAGAGCATCTTTTTCTGTGTCCGATAGAACATGCGTTATGATATAAAATAGAGAAATTTAGTCTTACAACTGGATGCCTCATAAATGTGTAACTTACACGTGGATGAATTAGACGCAAAAGACAAACGCACGCTATAAAGAAATCGGCCAACACCATTTGAAGGTAGGTGAGCGAAAATGCTGCGGTGTAAGAGAGAATACACTAAGATCAGTCTCTTTAAAATTGCAAAGATCCCTCAACGCTATCGCGATAATCAGGTATGTACAGTTGAGAAGTTTCTTGTTCAATTGGGCCAGATAGGGACTTTGCCTGTTGGTAGTGATTCCAGGTTTAGGTTATTCGACTTTAGGATGGCTTAAAATCAGTCGATGAAACTTTCCCAAATCGAATTGCTTTCACAGAAGCAAGCCGACCGTTTCATCCTAAATCAAGGTGGTTGTTTCATCATATCATAGAATGAATGCTATGAACGTCCGCGACCCATTACTTTTCGTACAGCGATAACCTCGGTATGACCTGCTGGTGTTGGCATCTTGGTTGATATGTCAGATTTGAGCATTACAAACAAATCTACATTCTCAAAGAAATTAGGAAATCCTCTCTCATATTTTATTTACAAATCTGATTATTCAGAAATAAGATATAGGAGTCCAATATATGTTAGGTGTTTAATGGTCAACAGAAAATAAACTAAATGGTATCCCATTAACTCAAAAATCTTGACCAAATACACTTAAATATATAAAATCATTATCAATTTGAACTAAATCTTACATCAAATTTAATAAGATAATTTTAATTTCGAATCAATTAAATTTAAAACACATAAAATAAATCTAAATGAATGAAAGATATTATCTAACCTAATTATAGCTTAAATAAAATAAATTGTAACGGTTGCAAGTATCCTTATAGGGTTTGCTTCCTCTTATTGAAAGAGAATTTTCATATCGGTTTGGTTCTTTCTTGAAAAAGGCACACCTTTATCTCTCAATTTTATTTACTTTAACATCTAGAATTTTTATGTGTAGTGGGGTTTTCCAATTTTTCACAAAAGAGTGTTTGAATCTTTATTGTTCTTGGATACATATTGGTTAACCGTATCGTGATATTTGGGATTGAAGGCTTGCCTAGCTAGTTTGATTAAGAATCTTGGAGCTATTAGACTCAAATCTTTGACCGCTGCTATCACTGTTTTGCAGTTTGCTCACGTGAGAGAAGAGCTTCATCCAGGTCGTTTCTCCATGAAGAATAAATCTGAGGTATGCAATCAAATTATATATACATCACTATGCCCTTTATCATTAATAACACCTAATCAGCGGTTTAATATTTTTACTTTGGTTGTGTAGGCACAGATGGGCAAAATTTCTATTAGACAAGGACCGTACATATATGACCCGAATACACACATTGTTCAAGAACATCATGAAGTAGCTGAACCTGAACGTGTAGTCACAATACCCATGATATCACAACCACCTTCGCCTGAACATCATCGCATGCACACCAATTCCAACACCATCAGTGACTGGTCACCTCTGGATGATGGCATTGAGTGTTTCCTCCCAAATTGTTCAGATAGAGTTCCCTCTAAGGAGGAAGTTGATGCACATATTTTTGGTATTCTTAATCAGCCGACTACTAAAAGAAGACTACCAGTATTCGCGGCACTTTGCTAGGGGAAGTATCCCATGACTAGCAAAAAGACTCCTCTTCACTGTGGAAATTACTCTCAAAACCATTTTTTTTTTCTATTATTTGAATAATGTCACCCCTGGTAAATATATACCATCGTAGTTGGGTGTGCTGCTAACAAATATTATGTGACATTTAATGGTCAGTTGATGGCTAGATTACCAGTGCTGTGCATACATTTTAGAATAACATTTTTTTATAAAAGGCAGAACCATGGTTTTTGATTCAACAACCATCTTCACTTATTCTTATTGAGTTCTGAATTTCACATTTGGCATATGACCAACACTAATACATGTTTGAATTCGTTGTAAAATTGATAGTATCACTGTGAGCTATTGTAATTTTGATTAAAACTGCACTTTAGAACTTTAACAAGTAAATTTAACAAATTCACAATTGATTTAGACATATATTTTGTATTGCACTAGCTCCCTTCGGTCCTTAAATTAGGCAATAATGTATCCTGGGATGGCTTCATTACATAAATTGTTTAGAGTAGAGTAAGCCTAAAGATAACCACATCCAGCTTTTAATTCAAGCAACCAGGACTCTTTGCAGTCATGGCCTTTTAGTAGAGATTAGATTTGAAGAGTTTTGCTAAGAGATATCCAAATATAAAATTTGTTAGAATACATACTACTATAAAATATTTGATTTTTTTTCGGGTTAAATATTTTTTTCCCTTTCATTTGGACGAGTACTATTTTCCTCTTTTATGAAACTTTTTTTTCAATATCATCCTTGTAATGTAATATTTTATTTTTTCATTCAGCCCTAATTTTAAATTAGATGATGTGATTTGTTCAAATCATGGTTGTTAAAATCTTGATCTAGATCTCAAGATTATAAGATTTTACAATTCCATACATTTTCAATGATCCATGTCTTAAGTAGAACTGTGTAAAAAGTAAGATTATTGCACAATCATAATCTTTTCACATTGTTAATTTTATGCAATCTTGGCATGTTTCGAAGACAATCGGTTGTCTTTTGATCAGCATCATTACAAGTTAAGAAAGAGTGAATGCACTTCTTTTGAAATGATAAGATTTAGATTTAGAATTTAGACTCTTGTAAAAAAAATAGAGTTTAGAGAATAAATATATTAGTTTTAAGTTTTTTTTTTAATTATGGATTCATGGTAAACCAAGTAATAGGTTTAATATGTCTTTAATATTTAACAAACATTTAGTGTAGAAAATGCTAATAAAGTATCAAACACAAGAGAGGTTTCTCATTTCACCCTTATGAATTCTCTCATACCATATGTAAACTTAAAAATACACCCTGGATTCATGGTAAACCAAGTAATAGGTTTAATATGTCTTTAATATTTAACAAACATTTAGCGTAGAAAATGCTAATAAAGTATCAAACACAAGAGAGGTTTCTCATTTCACCCTTATGAATTCTCTCATACCATATGTAAATACACCCTTCAATCATTACAAGTTTGAAATCAGGACACACCATAAAACAAAAAATCTCTTCATCACAAACACACCTAATGCAAGCAAAAATAAGTTCGAAATCTAAAATTCAGATCCTTCAAAAATTGATTTCTTTCACGCCCTTTAGAATCCAAACAAATACAAAGGGCGTGTTTGACGGTGCTCGCCGTATGGAAGGAAACAAATATCATATACCAGAATGACGTCAAAAACAAGTTTGTACGATTCAGTCTCCAGATTCTCCTTGACTGAGATAATTGAGCACGCATGTGACAAATCTTCAATGTAGTAATAAACATACTCCCACTCAACGATACCTATAAAATGAAAGAGGATTCATGCTTGAAAATATGGTTCAGATGAAAATTAGTAAGAGTTTAGTACGAGTATTATGAAGTTGATAAATGAAATGTATGTAAATTATTTGAAATAGACAGTTCGTTTCAGTCACTTGTCTCGTCTTTTATTGACTCCCAATCGACCTCTGATTCATACACTTTCAACGAAATCGCCTTCGCCTTCACCTTCTAACTCAATTGTTCACAACCTCCTAAGATCTCATAATCGAGAAGCACTCAAAAGTGAATACAGAAATATATAGCAGTCGATTCGATTTATCATCTTTTCAACCTCTATTCTTTGAAATTCAAAATTTTGATTTTCTCAAAAATTCTGCAAAGTGGCAAAAAGAAGATGTGAGATTCAGATCTAGGGTTGCTTCACAGTGCAAAGGCGATGTCCATGGCGACCTAGACGATACTATAAGTTCATAGTTAACATCGGGCACAAATCAAGTTCTGAGGCACCTTTAATGGGTACCAAAGAATATCTGGTCGGTTTATGGGCCTACTCCTGGTCAAAATCGGTGTTTCCCTTATCATTTGGTATAGTCTTTCCTAGAAAGACCGACATAAGGGAACTCCTTAAGGGATAGCAGCCTCCAGGATCAAATATCAATCACCAAATGAATGCAGCAATTCCACCAGGGTTGGGGTCTAGATGATGATGCTCATTAGCAACACTTTTGTTTAGCATTGCCAAGCTCAGATAAGCAGACTATTGAATCCTCAGAGTCAGGCTAACAAAAGCAAATGAAAATGGCCAACCATGCAATTAGAGAGAAGGCGCCCTAGATTATGGTCGCAAGGAGATCGGTTGACCATAATCTCAAACTCCCGACCAACTTCACTGTTCCAAAGGAAAGACTAGGTGAGGGGGGTTATCCATCCCCCTTCTACATTGGGAAAGGTGACAGGCCTCCCAAGGGATGTCGTTTGCATTTGACTGTCACATTGGGTGCAGTGGAAGCCAATCATCATACTAGATCCCCCATAGACAGTCCATCAGCCACTTGTAAGCTGCTTTAGGTAGATATCCACTTCGGAGTAGGAAGATGCTGAAAGGTTTCGGCTCTATTGATCAAGAAGCACTTCGTCGAAGCATTGAACAAAGAAATTTGACGAGCCTAAAATTTCAATGATCACCATCAAGCTACATCCCCAGAGGAGCCGACCATCCGACTATATGGCAGCAAGCAATTACAAAGTGGAGTACCCTCAACACTTTTTCCAACCAAAGAAGACGCCTTAAAGAAGGGAAATGCACTCTGCCCGGTGCCATGGGAAAGAACAATATCCAAAGACCTTGGACACCGTTCATCCACGTTGGAGTCGTCATTGAAGGTTTATCTACATTTCATTATTTATTTATAATGAATTCAATTCATTATATGTGTGTGTGTGTGTGTGTGTGTGTGTGTGTGTGTGTGTGTGTGTGTGTGTGTGTGTGTGTGTGTGTGTGTGTGTGTGTGTGTGTGTGTGTGTGTGTGTGTGAGTATTCTTCCTCTATTGAATGCTTCTTTATCTTTGTTTCTTTTAGAGCGTTCAAGCCAGAGGCAGGAAAGATAAAAAGGTTGAATGTGTATTGTAACACCCATTTTAATTATTTTTAGTTCAGTATTATTTTTATTCGCGGATGTGGTTGTGTGGGATTATTTGAGGATCAAAAGAAATCATAATGTTAATATATAGTGATAAAATGTGATAATTAGTAGTAATGTTAATATTGCTATTAATTATTATTATTATTACTAATATTAATATATATATATATATATATATATATATATATATATATATATATATATATATATATATATATATATATATATATATATATATATATATATATATATATATATATATATGAGTAAAATGTAATTATTGGATTTTTGGAAATTAAAAGGAATAAGATTATTATTTATGGAATTAAGAAAATGTGGAGAATATTATTATTGGAATTATGGAATTAAAAGAATTAGGAGAATATTAGCTATTTGGATTAAAAGGGAATTATTTGGGATGAGGGGTGACATGGCATTTTGGAAAATTAGAGGAACACATGCACGGGAAAACAAGCGAAGAACACGATGGAGGAAGGCTGAAGCAAGAGTTGAAGCTTGGCCAGGAGATCATCAAGATTATCAATTCGTGTGGATGGAGAAGCTTCATCAACATCGAATTTGAGGTAGGGGATATATCGGTTAATTGGTATTTACATGAATGATGGTAGAAGGGGAATCCCTAACCCCATGTATGAATATATTGCATGTTGATAATGATTGATGATGAATTGATGCTATTGCATGTTGTTGTTGTTGAGATTATTGTGTTAGATTATGTTAATTTCGTATGCATGTGTTGTAGAATGATGATTGAGTGAATTGAGAGCTTCTGGGTAATTTCGAAGTTGAGCCGGAAGTTGGTTTTGAGAACAGAGTTGAGGAATTGTCGGATAGAGTCGGGAATAGACCCTGTAACTGAGTTGCAGTATGTGGTTGGTTGTGGGTTTCGATTTAATCGGGCGAAATCGGGAGTGGATGGTGTTTCTGGTGCGCAGAATTTTTCTGAGTACGCAGGTATTCGCTGGGCGAATGAGGGGCGAGCCTTCGCCAGGCTTCGTCGGGCGAACTAGCCAGCGAGTGCTGGCAGAAGCTTCTGTCTGGCTTCGCCAGAGGTTTCTCCAGGCGAATGGCAGCGAGCCTTCGCTGCGGGGCTTCGTCGGGCGAACGCGCCAGCAAGCCCGACAGCAGCTTGTGTTTTTGCTGCTGTTTTTGGTTGTTTCCTTGTGGTTTTGGACCCTTGTTGGTCATGTATGATGGGGAGCTTGCTGGAGAGCTGAGGTGAGTGTATGTGTGGCGTTGGGACGTGACGACTGTGGTACTCGTGGGATCATGATATGTGGATTGGGGTATGTTATAACACCTGTATGTTGTGTAGTGCAGGATGTGAACTCCTTGATATTCACTTAATTCGAGAGATTGTGTCAGTGTATGTTAAGATACATGTATATGGTAATATAAGGGTGCTGAGTGCGATCGGATTGATGTGTTGTGATGATAGCTGGGTGCTGAGAGTGTGTTGAGGGTTGTAGGGCTGTAGGGCTGTGTGACCGGCGTTTATCGCATTTGACATAATCGGTGGATTATGTGTTAAGTCTAGATAAGTATGGATGTGTGTGGATGTGTAAGG